GGATCATGTTTCCTTTAGAAGTTATTGATTTTGAAAATTCTAGTATTTGATGTATATTTTTTAGTGAATATGATGTACAGTAAGAAAGAAGATAAGCTCTCATTAAACAGTAGTTATTCGTCCCGATTGGTTACAGAATGGCTTAATAGCGTAGTTGGTAGTGAACAGTACACATGATAATTGACTTGATTAATAATGGAATAATGGGTTCTCTAATTGTAAGACCTGTTCCATCCTTCTCTCGCATCTCTCTCTGTATGCTTTAGGTGTTGGTTTGTGCTACATTGTCTATCTTTAGAATTTCTCACCTTTTACTCTTTTACCATATTACCATGCCCTTTTTTTTTTTTTAATTCCTTCAAATCCTTAAAATCACTAAGCATTCATTTCTTAACTCTATCCTAGAATTTTAAACTATCACTTGGAAGGCTTCAACTTAATTACTTTTATAAATTTGCTGATAATTTTATTGCAATAGTCATTGAGGATGATACAGTTTAGAAATATTGAATTTTAGATTTTTTTATTGATATCCTAGAATTTTAAACTATCACTTGAAAGGCTTTGACTTAATTACTTCTGTAAAATTGCTGAAAATGTTTTTGCATTAGTCATTGTGGATGATACAGTTTAGAAATATTGAAGTTTAGAATTTTTATTGATGCCTAAAATTTTACAAGTTGGTTAGGTATGCTGTTGAGCTCTTTCAAATGAACTGTGTTCCAGTCCTGGATAACAGAATTCAAAGTGTAGTTTTTCAATGTTACATTACAATTTATAAACATGATGGTAATGAAGGAAATCTGTGAATAACATTGCAATACTCTTGTACACAGGTGTCTGATGTTCGAAAGACTGTTACTAGTATACATGATGACATGAGCGACATGAAACTCAAAGTGGCACAATTGGTATGTTTGAGTTCATGCTTTGGCATATTAATTGTTAACATAGATATCTTCTAGTTTAGAGGCTATGAAGAAGGATATTTTGGAGTTTGGCATGGTTCTTAATTATCATTTACATTGGTCTCTTCTAGTTTAGAGCTATTAAATAGTTTTATAGAATGTAAGCAACAAAGAGAGGCTTTAAGATAAAGAAAAACTGAAAGAGAAAACAAAGGTTTTCTTATTATCTGAATTATGATCTCTGGTTAGCTACAGTAGTGCAGATATATTTATTTATATAGTACATACATGGAACTTCTAGGAACGATAACTGCCTGTGATCTGATACTGATCAGACTACACCAAGTGTATACGCTTAACAAGTAGGTTGCAAAGTGCAAAGTAAATATGAATATTCAATATACAATATGATACCTTTATTTGAACCATTCTCATGTTGTATACACCTTTGCAGGATGGAAGGTTGAATAAAGTGGGTGAGAATCAGGTAAACTATTTTGTATTTCCTTTAAGTTTGGAAAGTAGTTTGTAATTAACTTTACCTTTTTGTTTACTTGGAAGTTCTTTATATAATTTATTTTAAAAATTGTTATATTTGGAAGATCTTCACATAATTTATTTTAAAGCTTGGTGAGGAAATGGTTAATTCTGTGATGCCCAACGATAATACTGATTTAATAATGTGGTTGCAGGAGCTTGCAAATATGGGATTGGACTATATTATTGGGTTTATACAGGCAAATACCTGGAGAGTTCCTGACTCTTTACCGGTGGGTATTGTTTCTTATTTTGATTACAAAAAAAAAGTATTTTGTTTTTACTTTGAACTCTATTTGAATAGGAAACTGGAATATTTGAAAACAACATAGATTCAGGAAACAGTGAAAATAAAGTGACATTTTTGCTATTAAAACTAAACAAGAAATGTAAGCAAAAAATAGAAAGGGACGCCAAACAGGACCTTATATCTAGAACTGACATTTTAAGTACATTGTCTAACACCATTCTGATTTTTGTCTAGTGACTTAATTATTAATGTGTATCTATTGTATTTTCAGGCAACTATTTCGCAGGAGCAACCAAAACTTCCTTGGAGGTCTCCTGGTATGCTCACACTTCCAGGAATCGCATATCCGGTAACTCCAAATTTGATGGTGTTCTGTTCTTCTATCTTGTACTTTGTTCACTATTTCCATTTCCTAGTGGGTAACAAGTTAGCCTGTGATCTGATAATATGGGGCTTAAGATGCTGTTTTACCTCCGTACACATTAGTACCATGCTTCCAAAACTTGAAGTTTACTCCTTATAGCATGCTTAATGACCCCATTTTCACTTGCAGGGTCTTAAAGACATTGCAGAATCATTGTCTAGTTTAGACAGATCAGCTTCAGATACTATTGGTTTGGATAAGCTAGAACAGCAGCGAAAGCCTTTGTTGAGGTTTGAATTAGCTCAGTTTTGGTTATAGAATATTTTCCATCATGTGGAAGAATGCATAACATACTTTCATTCTAACTTGCTCGCGTATGAATCCTATGGTTCCTTATTTTTATATCCTATGGTTCCTTATTTTTATATCCTATGGAGGGTTCTTGATAGTATTACAATTTATCCTTCATGCCATAGTAATAATAATAATTGTAACAAAGTAATAATAAAAGTAAATGGCATTATTTTGATTTGATTATGCTTCTGTTTTACAGGTGTACTTCGACCAAGTGTTGATGGCAAGGTCTTAATATGACAACTACCTAGCTTTTAAGAATTTCTTCCTAATTTGTTCGCACAAATCATAATATGCCTGTTTTTCTTTTTTGAAACAATCATAATATACCTGTCAATGATTGTCATAGGAGCTGCTGTGACTTTTATTTTCTCATTTTAATTTCTACATTGTAAAGTTGAACCAACAGCTTTTTGATATTAAAGCTAGTGAATTAGGATTTTATGTTGTAAATAGAATTGAATCCTCCAGGAGTTTGGGTTGGCTTATTCCAGTTGCTTTTCCAAAACCGTGACTACTTTCTATCTACCATCGATATATGAGGTGCATGAGATGACTTATGAACAAAATTTATCATTTTTAGCACAATTTAACTTTTGTAAAGCTTATTGAGGTTTGAAACCTAGTTTGCATGCTTTCATCTATATTTTTTGGGTAGTAACTTTATAGTGATTTTAAATTCATAACTTATTTGGATACTCGGTATCCGGCCTTGAGACAAATTAATCTGGGACCAATTCCATCTATTAGCAGAGTATAATTATTAGAACTTGGGAATTTCTTAGGACACCCTTGTACCTTCTTAGAAGTCCCTGGATAAATTCCTATAATACCTCCTGAATTCGGATATGCATAATTGAATTCACCTTATTATATATTTAAAAGGGTTGATTTAGATATGCATTTTTGAAATAACCTTTTAGTTAAAACCAGAGGGCTTTCAGATATACATATTTGAATCAACCTATAATTTAAGTATAAGGGGGTTCGGATATGTATATTCGAATTGTATTAAATATATATAAAATTTTAAAACAAAATCTTTTCCATTATTTTCTATCCTAACTCTCTTTTGCAAATCTTTGAGAACACTTTCAACTTAATTTAAGATTAAAGTACATTTTCAAAAATCATATCACATTTTCAATAACACTTCAAAACTATGAACTTGAGAAAAGTTTCTCCGAATCTATTGTTCTACTTTGCAAATGTAAAATATGTTATTTGGAATCATATAAATTGAGTTGGTTAAAGTGTAACTTGTGAAATGTGGTTGTTTGAGTGCGAAAGAGAAGTTTTTGAGTGATTTAGGGCAAGAAATCCCAACTGCTAAAAAATGACAGCCGCAGACTGTTTCAGACGTGCATATTCGAAAATTCCTCTGAGTATTTTCGGACATGAACATCCGAGATTAAGCCTGAGTTATTTTTTTTATAAAAAAATTCACTTGTTCATTCTTTTTGAGTAATGATTTTTTTCTTCAGAAAAATGACTGAGAACCCAAAAAACAGATTGAGACTTGGCAAACCAAGTCAGATTGTCTCTGCTCGGCATGAGAGAGTTGAGCAGGCTACTAGGGATGAAGACAAGAGGTAGTGGTGGGAGCATCCACTTCTACTCCAAGGACTCAGTTGTCTCATGCGTCTTTGTCTCAGAATAACGAGCAGGAATCCAAAGAGGTTGTCCATGATACACCGACTGCATGGCTACGTGCAACAATGAGGAAGACAAACCAGGAGTATTTATGAAAGCCCTTTGACACCTCTCTTTTGATATATTATAATGATCATGCGCTTTGTGGTGTTCTTCATGTTCTTGGTTGGCACGTCTATTTTTGTGGACAAAAGTGCAAGTTCTGTGGATGCGACATATCTGTAGTACTTCATGGATTTGGGTACAATTAGAGAGAGGAATTGGGGGTTGATTGTTTGGTATATCTACATCAAAAGCTGAATGAAACTTTTAAATGGAGGACGAGGCAACTGACAGACTCTTGCACACTGCTCACGGTACCTTTTATTCAAACTATTAAATTTAATTTGCTATTAATAATTTGTTCTTACATATCTCTTATTCGTTTTTCAAGGATGCATCATTTCTCACTTCCATCGTATTCATGGTTTCAATTTTGATTTGCGGTATAGTGAGGAGATGCCAACGACTTCCATGTATATCCTCCTCAGATGGAATCATGTTGTGCCGCCGTTTCAGATGTATCTTGATCAGACCGTTCATGATGACATCCCCTAGACGCTGTTTGAGGATCACATGCAGATTGTCCCCTTCGACCCCATTTCATTATACTCAGGGTGGCTGTAACGTCCCGAATATTTTATTTATCATTTGATTGGCTGTTTGTGAATTATATGATGCAATAGGTGGTTTGATGTTGTTATGTATGAGGTAGAATTGGATTAATATAATAATGAGAATTATTTTTAATTTAGTTGAAATTATTTGGATTGAAGAATAATTGTTACAATATTATATTAATATTTAAATGAAATAATATGTGTAGTAATATATAGGGTAAGATAATAATTTACATGAGGTTTAGTGAGGGTAAGGAAGGAAGACCATAATAGGAGTCTAAGGGCTAAACTAGTAAAAAGGAGAAATATATAGTTGGATCGTATCATTGGAACGATCGTACTCTGGGAGAAGTAGAAGAACGAGGGTGAGAAAAGGCTAGGGCAAGAGAAAGTCATTGTTGAAGCTTTGGAACCGTCAATATAAGGTAAGGGTGGAGTTCGAACTCTTTAAGGATATTGTATAATAATGAGTGTAACACCCTATTTCCCCGTTGGTAATTTATATAATAATCAGAGTAAAAATTAATTTCTAAATAAACATCAATAGGATGTCACATACTTCGCCAATCATGCATGCTCAAAATCAGGATACGCAACACAAATTGCATGTTCATAAATCATAAACTTCAACGCATTTATTCGCAGCAGAAAAACATCAATAAATAGTCATCTCAATTCTCCAACCAAAGTTATAATTATCATCTTTCAAACATCAACATAATCATAAAACAATTCAAACAACAGAGTCATACATGTTCGCTCTTAACATAACAAAACAAATCACGCGAAGCCTCCAAATGTTACGTATCAGAGTAGATCCGACTCAATCTACACAACTAGAGGACCTCCTCAGCTAAGCTTCGATCTCTAGCTACTTCAGATCATCACATTACCCACGTGCAGACAACATTCAAACAGAAATAGTGAGATATTGATCATGCCTGACCGAATGGACCGTCACAGATTGCTCTGAGCAGAATTTAAGAGTGAGGTGGAGGGATACCTACAGGATATTCCAATGCCAAAGTAAGTTTCAGAATGAGCAAACAAGTACGAGAGTAAGAAATGTTCAATACCTGACTGTTGTACCCCAAAAATTTTCCTCTCACTTTTCAAGGCATTTCTCACAAGGATTCTCAAGGTTCAAGCTTGCACAAGTACATTGGGATTTTCAGTACCAAGATTAAAATGAAACTGTTAAAAAGGGGGAAAACAGATAAAAATAATATTTTGATAAATTTGGAGAAAAACAAGTGTTTTTCGATTCATCTCCTTCGATTGGCCTTTGGCCTCTTTCGATGCAAGCTTGGATTGCATCCTTCTACTGGGCGTGGGCCTCTGGCACGCTGACTTGGATTCACAAGGCATAAATCCTCATGTAGCCTCCTTCAATTCCAAGGCAAAAGGCTCCCTTTTGGCATGCTTCGATTTGCATTTTTGTCTCCTGTATGCCTCTTTCGTTTGGGTATCTTTGCAAGCCTAGCATGTCTCTTTCGTTTGAGTATGTGGCCCCTTGTTACAAGCTTCGTTTGGGCATTTGACCCCCTTCATGCTTTCTTCGTTTAGGCGTATGAGTCCTTCAATACAAGGTTTTGGTTAAACCTTTCGTTTGGGCATGTGGTTCTCTTCATGTTTGCATGAAGTCACAAAGCAGGGACCCCTATGTACACTCCTTCGTTTGGCCACTTGGACCTTTGGAAGGCAAGCCTTCAACTAGACAGAACCACCTTCACAAGGTTTAGTTTATAACTGTGTCCCCTTCGAATCAACATCTTTCGAATCCAACTCTGAGCATCCCATTTGAAGGACATGCTTGATGGTCCATTCGAAGGATTTACAAGCCCACTTTAAGGCATATTTTTGGTGACCCATCCAAGAGTCACACTTTTGGATCCTTCTAAGGATGTACAAAAGTGACCCATTCGAAAGGCATTTGTTGGAGGAAAATCAAATAGTATTGTTGGAAGAAGAGTCTGGTCGAAGAATGGTCAAAATGAAAGAAGAATATTCAAAGATGCTTGCTGCCAAGTTTAGGCCTGGTACACTGGCCAAGACTGCTGCACAACAGTCCTGAAACACTGCCCCATTCTTGCACAAAAATAGCATACAAGGCAATGTCTCTTGAAAGCTACAAGGAACAGATTACTCAATTTGTTCAAACTTTTTGTTTTCCCTCCAAAAGCTTCAGGCAACCTTGCCTATAAATAAGAGGATCCAATACATGTTCAAGGAGGACTTTTTGGTTAGAGGAACGAATCTCCAAAAATTTCTCAAACACCATAAAGCTCTCAAACACTTAAACACTTGTCAAACACAAACCCAGAGTTCAAATACTTGTCCTCTTCGAATCTGAAAGATCCCTGTACCTTGTTACCCTTCGAATTCAACAGGAAGAACCTCCTCTTTCGAATCCAGTATCAAAGGCCTAACCTCTGGTCCCTCCCTTCGAATCCAGAAGCATTCAAGGTAACCACTTCAAGGTCCAACACACGCTCCAGCCTCCAGCAAGGTAAGTTGTTCTAAACCTTGAACTTTTCGTTTCTTGCATAACATGTAAATAAAATTCCTTTTCGTTTCAAACATATACATATCATTTCCCCCCTTTCTTTTACACCCTTTTAGTTTGTTTTTATTGTCTTTCCTTTTGGTTTTGTTATTTGGTTTCTTACAAATGTTTTAAGAACTAACCTGAACCTAAGGTAATGCTAGCACGGCCTTAGGCCATGTTGCTATTTAATATCTCAAACTAAAGAAACAGGAGACATGAGTATGAAACAAAGCTTCAGGCTTCCTCACTGATTCCAGGCCCAGGCAAAAGGCACGCCTACACTGATTCCAGTACCAGTTGAAAGGAAGAACTATGTTGACTTCCAGGCCCAGACGAAAGGCGTGACTATCCTGATTCCAAC